ACTAAGTAGATGTAAATTTTGAATGATGCGAAATAATTTGTTCATATTTTTATTTTTATCTTTTTTTTATTACAAAGAAGATTATTTTTTAATAAAAGTACCTATTTGTTTTAGATGTATTTTTAAAGTTACTTATGTTTATCCATTTAAATTTTAAATATTTAGCACATTATAAGGAAAAAAAAGTCATATCAATCAGGATGTAGTAAACAGAACACAATTAAACCTTAACCTAAGCACCCCCTCCCCCCATAAAAATCCTAGATCCGCAACTGATTTCAGTCAAGTTCAGGTCGTTCAGGATACATTTAATTATTACTATTGCGCTTATATATTTTGGTGCAGTTTTTATTCAAGAATTAACAAAATATGTAATAGTTAAAAACAAATTGTAAAATCAAAAAGTACWCTCACATCACTTCGTGCTTGATCAATTTTTTTTTGTAAATCTTGAATTTTTTGTGATATTTCTTGGGCTGATTTCTGAGGTTCATGATTTTCCCTTTCACCGCTACAAATAAAATAGATAAATAGTTAATAATTTTGAAGAAATATTTGACAGAGTTCTTTTACCTTTTTATAATATCATGAATTAATGGTAAAAAATCTGTATCCACATCATTGACGGTTATAGTGTTTTCCATATTTAATATTAGACACTTATAATAATTAATTAATAGACATACCTACAAAATGGTACTTAACACAAAATAGGTAGTAAATAAATATAATATAGTTTGTTACTTTGTTAGATACTACAACTGTACTACTAGACAAAAGATACTTGCTAGTATATTTACGATAATTTAAGAATTTAAGATCTTAACAATAATAATCAATTTTACCTAGTTCTAAAACTAATAAATTAATATTAAYTGTAAAATAATGATAATTGATACAAAAATGTAAGTAAAATTTGAAAAATTATAACGCAGTGGTTATTTTACGTGCAAAATGTATGTTTAATGTTTATCAAATAATTCAAAACATTATAAACATTAAATACTAATATATTGTTTACCTTTTGTTAAATGATGATAACGTTGATAACACTAATCTATTGCTACCACGAWTTAARATATTAAATCATATTATCTACTATCAAGCATGCGGCATGAACTAAAGATAGGTTATAGTTGATACACACAATATAAATAAATATCAACTGTCAATGATTGAATGGTACTCTAAACTCTTCTTCAACACTATTGGACATTGGTTTCCTATTTACTTAGTAATTTCTCAATAGCAAGCAATGCAAGTACGTTTATTCTGTGGTTCTGCTAAAGCCTAAAGTTTAATATTTCGATACATTAACAGACMAAAATTTTTGTCTATTGTAACTTTTGAGACAAATGTACGTATGTGCTTGCAATTGAAAAAAAAAGCCAATCATAAAGAAAGTTCGAACAGTAAGTATGTCTGCTTTTGAGTACTATGCCAAGAAGAGTGTTACTGAAGATAGTGTGAACCGTAAACGTAAAAACAAGAAGAAATTAAAAAAAACTCCTGTTAAAATTTCTAAAAATGAAAAAGGCGATGAGAATCCAAAAAAAATCAAGAGCTTTGATCTGGATAAAATTTATAACTTAAACTTAAAAGATTCTTCCAAAACTGGTCAAAAATTGTTGGAATGGCTAATACATCCAATCAGTATTAACGATTTTATGAGGTAAGTGGTACACATATAATATATATAATATTATGTAGAATGTAGATGTAACTTAATATTATATTTGCATAGCTGTTCCCAGGGTTTTACTTCAGGYGCAGCACATTAAATTTACTTAATACTTAATACATTATACGTAAACACTTACATTTCTATATCATACACATAATGTACAAACTTCTTTCAATTTTATTACTTGAAACTTTCATTTTATTGTATTTTATTTATTACAAATAGCTTATGTTTGAAAATTAATGTAATTTCAAGTTGTATAATATTGTATCAAGCAATAAAAAAACGTGGTGGTTGAAATGTCAGGTGCAGCACAGGCTCTGTAGCCTCTGTAGGCTGTACCCGTAGAACCGCTCATGTTTATCTGTGTGTAATAATTATAATATATCCCCTTTTCACTTGTGTTAATATTGTATGATATTAAGGTAATGTAAAATGTATATTAGTTATACCTAACTTTTTTTTGGTTATTACTGACAATTGGATTTTTAAGAACCATATAAGTTAATTCAATCAAAGAGTTAAAATTTATTGTTTCTCAGGGATCATTGGGAAAAAGCCATCTTGCATKTGCCAAGAAACAGTTCTGATTACTTTTCACAATTGTTCTCTCTAACTGAACTTGATACCATTCTTCGTGAAAATAACCTTCAGTATGGAACAAATGTAGATATCACGTCTTATACAGACAATATTCGCGAAACACATAATCCAGTTGGCCGAGCTCAACCTCATGTTGTGTGGGATTATTACACCAATGGATGTAGTGTCCGGTTACTGAATCCTCAGCTATTTGCCCCAGAAATTTATAAATTCATGGCTAATTTACAAGAATATTTTGGCTCATTAGTTGGTTGTAATGTTTACCTTACACCACCATTTTCTCAAGGTTTTGCTCCTCACTACGATGATATTGAAGCATTTGTTGTGCAAGTGGATGGTGAAAAACATTGGAGGGTTTATAAACCAAGGTAAATATTTAAAAAAAATTATAGTTKATTATAATTTGTTTAATAATATTTTATTTTTAGAAGTGAATTTGAAACCCTGCCAAGGAYTTCAAGCCGAAATTTTCATCCAGATGAAATAGGTGAACCAATTCTTGATGTAATATTAAGACCTGGAGATTTTTTATACATGCCAAGAGGATACATTCATCAAGCTGATACTTTATTTACAGAAACACATTCTTTACATTTGACATTTTCATCATATCAACAAAATTCTATATATGATTTTCTCAAAGTGGTAAGAAGTTGTAATCATGTTCTACTTACCTACCTAAGTTTTTTGATAACATTGTTTCTAATARTTTATAAATAGTATATTTTTATATATTAATATAATTGGTGTTTATCTTTTGAAATTAACTTGGATTTGAATTTTTTATTTTAAATTTCAAATTTCAAATATCAGCTTTTATTTACATTAAATCAAAGAAAATTATTTATTTTTGTTTTTTTCATCATCTTACAAATTACAATTAATTAAATCTTTGGGACTCTATATGACTATATCTATATTAGTTTTTTTTTATGATCTTATTTGACTTATTTTTATTTTTTTAAGTAATTATTTAGAATCTGTTAAAACTATTACATTTACTTTGTATCATTTTTCACATGTACAATTTGTAATTAAATAAATATTGTCATATTAACATTTTAGAAAAATTAATTAACTTTTATTTTTAGGTGGTTAATAATTCTTTAACTAATGCTGAGAAGAATGATGTATCCTATAGATCTGGATTGCCTGTTGGATACCAACATTTTGGAGGCTTATGTGAATCAGAAAAATCACTTCCAAAAACTGTTCTAAGGCAACAGTTCGAAAATAAAATCAAACAATTATTAACAAATTTAAAAAATCACATGAATCTTGATCATGATATTGACATGTTTTCATTGAAAAATTATTACACAAATTCATTGCCGCCATCAATATGTAATGGTAAGTTACATATTATTAGAAGTTAAAAATAAATAACATTAATAATGTGAAGGATATCATATCCCTAGTGAAAAA